TTTTCTGCAATCTGCTTAAATAGCACTTAGCTCACATACAAAAAGCTGGACCACAATGTTTAATGGGTAGGATCCATGCATCAACCTACTATATTGCATACATTTATCTTTAACTGGAGGTGAACATAAAAAAGGACCATGCAGCTTGTTTGAATTGAGTTTTGCACCATGACAGAGTTCTCTGTGAAGGTCTCTTTTTGTCTACTTTACTAAATCATTCAGTTAGTATTCTTTTTGGTTGATGGTGCTTTACTTTTACTCTACAGTAATAAAGATACAGTGCCTTTAAAAGGCCCACAGCCCACTGAATTTTTTTCCCCATTTTATCACATTAAATCTGGAATAGGCCAGCACAAAATAGCCCATTATCGTTAAATCGAAGGAAAAGGTTACATGGTTTTGTATTTTATTATTTCCTATACACTTTTTTTTTTTTTTTACAACTAATGAATATGTATTAAGTCCTACTTTTGCCATTTTAGGGCATCTGATATCTAGCTATATGCATAGAGAATAAATTGTTTGCCCATTCCTTTTGTAAAACAACTTAAAGGGGTAGTATTATGTATTTTCTAGCCACATTGTGTAATTTTACAACACAATCAAGTATGTACAACACCCTCAGTCATTATAAAAATAATGTATATTTCAAATAAGACTTAAAAGAAATTTGACTTTGTAATTTAACGCCTTAAAATTTGGCCTCTGTTTCTTTCAGAGATGCTTGCTCTTTCTGACACTCCACCTTCAGGAAGTTATCACAACATCTCTATTAACCCTTTCACAATAATTTTTTTTTTTACCAGCGTTTCACTGAGCAGTAGCCACCTCCAACCTCTCTGGTCCTCCTGAAGAAAGGCATCCCTACAACACAATGCTGCCACCACCACCATGTGTCACCATGGGGATAATGTCCTCAGGGCAATGTGTAGTCTTTGCTGTTTTCGACACATGCAGGCTACTTTCTGTATAGGCTACCTACTAACCACTGATTTAATAAGAAACAGTGCAGGCTCACATTGGCCAGTAGAGTTAATTTGTGATGGCCAACAACCATCCAAATGGATGATTTTAGGCTTCAAAATGACTCCACAGAAAACATTAGTATGCACAAGCAGGAAATGTAAACATACATAAATTCTCAATATTAAGATCTGACCTGGTGACATTTACAGTGGTGAAAAGCCTTTTATGGTGATTTTAAATGCTCTATGCAGCTTTTTCTGTGGTTTTCATACCAGTTTCTTAGTTCTTTACTGTGTTTAATGTTTTCTCTTCGCACGAAATCATGCTGTGATTTTCCCTTCAAGCTTCCAGCTCGTTCATGCACAATGGATTCTCAGAAACTACACGTAAAGAAATGTTTCTTGTGACTGGATGGCATTACCATTTTACTCAGTGACATGAGTTTAAGATGTTTTCACATGTGAACACATGATTCAAACTTGTTTCCACCGCCTCTCATGTACTGTAATTCATGGCATGAGATCTGCTGCAGGAGGTGGAGTTCTCACAGCATGAAATGTGAAAAACGTGGTGTAGGGGAAGCATCTGCCTTAAGTGTGCAGGGGGTGAGACACAGTGCAAAAACTGTGCTGTAAAGAAAGCTCTGCCTCCTTTACAGCAAGTCGAAAATGATGGATATCTTTATATTAATACCAAATGTATTTGAATGCATCTGCAGCACACAGGCCAAGACAACTGAAACATTTCTTGTTTCTAAACATATAGTTGAAATCAAATCTCCTTAAAAGTTACATACAACTATTTTTCTCACTGTCTGACATTAAATCAAATAAAATGTGTCCTGTTTAAGGTCAGTTAGCTGGAATTTTGGCCTATTCCTACTGACGGTAGTTGTGTAATTGGGTCAGGTTTGTAGGTCGCCTTGCTCACGCTTCCTTCTTCAACTCGAAAGTTCCACCTTTTGTCCCCCAAATCTAACAATAGTTAAAATATTTTGGTCTCATCAAATCACAGGACTTCTCTTCAGAAATGAATATCTTTGTTCTTGAGTACAATTGCAAAGCTAGCTTTTTATGTTGCTGTGTTACTGTAAAGGGTTCTTCTGTAATGGGACAGGATTCAGTTAAGGATTGTTAGATTCACTCACTGTGTTCCACTAGGAAGCTCCACAGTTTATTTACATTGGCTCAAGTTACATGATGGAAAACCGGAAGTGTGTTGATGGCGGTCTGGAAGTAGTTTATGCTGTCAACAGGTGAAGCAAGCAAGCTGAAATATTCTTTAAAATTACTTCTTACTAACATTCTTTAAGATTGCCCAAAGTGGTGAGTTTATTTTTAATGTTGTAATCTACTGAGAAATTTGTTTTTGTCCTGGATTAGTATTTTGGCTTTAAGCTAATGACAATGATAGTGATTTTAGCACATTAGCAGCTGATTAGCACAATGCTAGCCCCTACATATTGCACAGCATGGTTTAATGCTGATGTGAACATACACAATGGTGTTCAAGGGATAAACTTTAGCTAAATCAAATCTAAGATTGGTGGGTTATGCTTATATAGTTTATTTTAAATTTTGTTTTACTTTGTTTACAGCTGCCTTGACCATAATTCACTAGACAATAACTAACATAATAACTCAAACAACAACTAATATTTTTGTAACATGGATAATGATATTATTTTGGCGTCAGCCGCAATAGTGTGAATATAGCAGACACTTGTTCAGATGTCAAAATGTTATTTTCTGGTCCAGTAATCCAAAAGGAAATTAAATTTGTTCAAGGTCTGTCTAAGCAACATGTTATTTTAGTGTGGCAACTGAAAGGCTTCGTAAATTGGCTCAAATATAATAAAAAAAACAAAATCTGGTTTCATATTTATTCACACCACCATTCATCTCCAACTGTAAATTCCAAAAATATGCATCAAAATTCACTTTCAAAACACTCCCATGCATGGAAGGACACTTTATTTCTACTACCTGCTCTGCTTTAAAGTCTGTTTCTTGTTGTTGTTGTTGTGTAAGTTTTGTCCTTCAGCCAGCAAAGCAGCTGCTTCAGTAAATATATAAAATCTCAACTCCATTTTTCTGATTAGAGGAGGCTACATTAAAAAGTAGTTCCTTCTTTAGATCTTTTTTTTATACACTTTTTGGAGGCTTTGATGCCGAGCAGTTATCCTCAAAACAAAACACGTAAAAAAAAGTTACGCATGAACACTGCTAATAAGAGATTTAATCATACCTATTTTCACACAGCATAAATGCGAACATACACAACATATTAACACAGGGTTGCGTCCGATATATTTAATCTGGTTTCACAAGAATTTTATAGCACCTCTTCTGTCTTCAAGGAGTAAGATATGTTGAATAGATTACTTCCTCACGATGTGACAGTTTATTAACACGTAAGGTGGAGGTGCTGAAGTCTCACTAACATAAATAAGATGCATTCATGTGCACCTTCTTTTTTTCTCACATCGGATTTTGAGTTTGCATTTCAAAGTGAAAAAGTTGAAGTCAAATGTAATTTTACTTATCAAATCAGTTTTCATATTATCTCAGTCAAGCCAAAAAGAAGCACTTCCTCTTAAATGATTATTATGAAAATCAAGACCTTTAAAGTTGGGTTTGAATTTAACGTACAGCTACAACCACTTTATCTGAGATTCATTATTTTCAATGACAGGTTTGATATTAGAAGAGCTCCTCTCTTCTTATCTGGAGGATTTGAAAAGAACTGACTTTACAAGAGGAGAGGGCTGTTGCTCTTTGTGCCTATAATGTCTCCCAGGTGGCACTACAAACGGAGTGCTAATAATAAAACACTGACTCCTCTCTTCCGCTGCATTTCTGCACTAAGCCCTTATTCTGTAAGATGAAGAGTAGATTTGGTGAATTAAGAGAAGAGTGATACTTTGTCACAATTCTGCAAAGCTAACGAGTTGATGGGTAAGACAAAAACCTAAAACCAATGAAACTAGAAAGCATGCTACAATTAACTCTTCTATAGCTTATCTTGGAAATATTTGCTACTGGTTGAAATTACATAGCAATGGGCTTACGTGAGGTTCTAATGTTTATACAGCCTCAAGTAAAAATACAGTGGCTTCATTATATTTGTCATTTTGCTCTTTATAGCCTCACGACATGATAGTTGAGTGGTTAGTCCAGGTGATGAGGCTGCTGTCAATAGCTTAGTAGACATGGCTCAGTTTGCTGTCCACTGTTAAAAACAATCCATTGTCATAAAATCCTTTGCAGGGGATTTCCAAATCTTACATAATCTTATTCCAAATCACACTTATACCCAAACAAGGTATAAGTGTGATTTGAAATTCGATATTGGTCAGCACTTTATTTAATCTATGGGTTAGAATAAGCTGATACCTTAGGGGTATTATTTTATCTACCCGATCAAAGAAACAAAATGTACTGCACAGCCTTTATTTTGCAACACTCTCTGCAGTTCTCATTGCAAACAGTAGCAGCCACTAGTGAGAAAAAAATAATAGCCCGGTATAGCAAGGACATCAGTGGAAGAGATTATCTTTAGAAGTTTTTTGTCTTTCATCCTTCTTTTCAACAGCTCAGAGGACACAGATTAAAATGGTGCACTTAAAAGCCAATGGGATGGATTTCAACCAACAGCAGCATCTAAACACAACTGATACCCAGTCAGCACAAATCAGTTATTCTTCACATCTCTAGTGCAAATGGTCCCTTTATTGCTGTAGCCTAGTGCAGACATTCAGAATACAACAGAGGAAGAGAGGAACAAACTTTCACTACAAGATATATTTCTATTAGTTTCCCAAGTAGTGGGAAGACAAATCAGTTCTTTCATGTTTTCAGGGAACCAGGTTCGACCTGGTCCTGGTTAAATGTGAATGTCTTTTGGGGAAAGCCCCAACTCTCGAGTTCAGCAGTCTCTAAAAATGTGGGGAAAAGAAGAGAGGAGTTTGATCTTCTTTCTCTAAAAAATGTTTAACAAAGCCGTAGAGTTAAAATGGGTTTGTTTTTTGGGGGTTTTTTTTTACAACAGTTACACTCTTTAGCATAAGCAAAATCACTCCAACCTCAAAATGTGGTTGGAGTGATTTTGACATAGTCCAATTTTCTTTTCTTTCTTTGCTATGCTTACATTTCAATGTAAGCATAGCAAGCTACATTTCAGCATTTTCTAGTTGACAACCTGTTGAGCCATTCAAGAAATTGCATGTTTTCAACAATTCAACCGTTTTGCTTACAATTTAAAATGTAAGCAAACTATGAAAAACAGATCTGAGCATTCATGTGAGTGAGAGGGTTAGAATAATATGTTCCCAAACAATACCAATCATTCCTGAACCACACAACAAAGGCTCTACCAAAAGACAAGAAAATAATGAAAGAAGAGGTCACTTATTCCTCAAGGGGGGTTGCATTTTGGCAGCCAGATTTCATTTCAGCACTCAAGGCGTTCATTTCATTCCCACAGTGATAAAAGCAGACATTTGACAAATCAAGTAATCCCATAGAAATAGCCGCAGATGCAAGACTGGCTTTAAAACTCTGTGACAAGTTGCATTGGATTGCACTGTGGGAGCCTGTGGGAAGAAAATACACAAGCTAAAGATGTTTAAATGTGAAGCATAGCAGGGAAGCGCGACAGGCGTCACTGTGCAAATGAAAGTGATCTGTTGTGAGGCTATCAGAGTGAGAGTGACAGAGGCAGACACACTGGAGCTCAAACATCCCCACAGCAAACAGATACAATCCGTCAGATAGAGCAGAGTGACAGCAGATCCTCTGATGGACTGAGCAGCATCGATGCACTGGGAGGAAGGAAGGTATAGTAGAGGTATTGCAGAAAAACTGGAACGCCACTGTGATTAAAGTCTGCACACAATGCAAGCTTCCAATATGCCAAAGCTTAACAAGGAAAACAATTCAGAGTACACCCACACTGAAAGTACGTTATTGGTAACAGAAAAAGCTTCTCCCACCCACACAGTGGGCTTTGTACACAAGATCTAAATGCATGATCTGCCTCTTCCTCATGCTGCCCCTTCTTTCTCATATAACATCTCTGTGACTGCACAGACCAGCAAACAGCTAACAGGACAGAAAAGTCACAGTGAGGGAGAAACAGAGATAAGGTATAGAAAGAAACACATGGCTTTGTTGTCAGTTTTCAAAACTTATTCAAACGCTCTTTGATGCAAGAAAAAAATGAAGAACTTACCCAGAAAAGGAGGTTGAAGAAGACCATTCCATAGCGTAGGGCCATCATGCAACCCTCAGCCATCCTGCAGCGCCGCAGTTCTAGAAGGAATATGAAGGAGAGGTCCAGGTAAAACACCACATACTTCTTTCCCTGGGCGTAGCGCCCGTTGGAGTTCTTTGGCCCCTTTGTTGTGTGGAAGCCGAAAGCAAAAGGAGGTCTCTTATATTCAAACTCCCCACTGAATCGGTGAAAACCAGAAGTGAAGGGCGGAGTGTCAGGTTTGCTGTCCAGAGATGGACTGCGTCGGTACGGAGTCTCATCTGTGCTTGAGCGTCTCATTGTGGAAGCACAATTAGTCTTTAAAAAGTCTTAATAGTCACTCTGTGTGCTTCAGCTCTGAGGCAAGTTCACTACAAGGTACTACGACTTACTCCTCCAAGAACAGCGAAATGGATTTTAAGATAATTATGACTCCCCGACAAATCCTAGCAATGCTTGATTAATTATATCATAAATGGGGTCACACGTGATCTAAATTAATCTATTGAAGAAAATGTGTCACCCCAATTGAGTTGCCTTTAATCTTTTAGAGTCACTACATTAGGCACGAGACCTTGCACATTCTGGCGACACCACCTGTGTAATTCATTGTATTTCGGACACCGTCTTGCCATGCACAAGTACAGCTGCACGTCCCGATTTCCCTTAGCATAATCCCTCAAACATAGGTGTCGTGCTCTGGGAGATAAGCCGGTCTGCAGTTTCATCTCATAACGTTTCAATCAGGTGAACGACTGGAGAGCTTAACACATCCCCACCTGCTTGGAGTACCCAAAATTATCCAGAAATGTCCTACCTGGTCTCACAAGAGATTCCAGAGCAGGTGCTCCTGTCCAGCAAGTAATGACACCTATAATACAGCTAAATCAACTTCTTACTCAGCAGCAGATGACACATCTATTTCTGAGAATACAACGCTGCGCTGTGGGTCTTAGGTGCATCTGAGCGTTCAGCATGTGAATGTGGCTGATGATGTGCTTTTGCTGACATGCAAGAAAAAATAACTAAAAAAAAGGCAAGGGGATGAGAGTTAGGGATGTAGTTATGGATTTAAGAGGAAGGTTGGAAAGAGGAATGAAAGGATGAAGGATGCTTGCGATTGGACAGTTCTTTGGCTTCTTGAATTAGTATCCCTGTGGAGTTACTTCCTTGCCTAATTTCCTCCTCACTTCACGCGTCGACCCAAACTTGTCCCTTTTTTGTTTCTGAGAAGTGCCTAGGGGTTTCTCTGCGCCTCGCCACAGCCTGTTCTTCACACCTCTACAAAGTCACCCTCTTCAACTCTCAGTTATTCTATTAACTGTGCACCTCTCTGCGCTCCCCCCTCTGTGCTGACGGTAGATAATTAATTTCCAGACTCTCATCACAGAGACAAAGTGTGTGGTTTCGCCTCCTCTTGTTTCTCCCTTCTCCGCTACAGCTCGTTTCTCCTCTTCTTTAGGTGGGTGAGGAGATCAAGGTGTCCATCAGGGTCATAGCAACGAAGCCACGGAAGAAGTAAGAAGGAGCATTAGGCAGCAAGAAGGGGAACCCTGTTTCCTCAGAGAAGCAAAAGAAAGACTGCAGTGTTTGAGCGGTAGTCCAGAATTGCTCCCAGAAGCTCCCTCCTTCTTTCGCTCTCTCGATATGCCCCCCCCCCCCTTCTTTTCTTCTCTTTCCTCCTTTCTCTCACAAGCTCCGATACTCTCCCCACCACCACACACACAGGCTCAAACACTCCATCCCTCTTCGGTCACTGTCCCCGAAACCTGCCTGTGCGAAAGGCAGGCATTCAAATTCTAGCCACACCCCATGAAACCCAACAACCAATCAATGTCTCGCAGCTCCCATCTTCTCTCCCGAGCATACCACAATCTACCGGATAGCCCTCTGGATGCACAAACGCAGGCGTGCACACACACACAGCCTGGTGTTGTATTAACATGACAGAGCTGAGAAGAAGGCTGCACCCGTGTTAGTCCTTCCTCTTCCTCCTCCTCCTTTTCCTGCTGCCTCTCATTCCACATGCAGAGGTTGTTCCTACTCACAAACCAGACTCATCTCTGTGTATGCATTGTGTCAGGCATGCCCCTCCACCCCTAACAAACCCCTTCAGACCTGGACCTGGGTCACACAATATCTGCGTATCTGCCTCAGCACAGATTTTCACAACACCAACAGCTCACCTGAAGTGTGACTCTATGGATGCATAGAGAACAAGTCTCCCTCCTGCTGACATTCACACAAAAATTACTGCACACTCCCCGCAACGCTGTAGCCATCTGGGTCACTGGCTTTATGAGTCCACAAGCAGATATCAAATCTGCAGAGAGTGCAGACTATATTAATGGCTGCATCAAGTATTTAATGGATCTCTGTTTTGTCTCCTGAGTGTGCTTTCGTCAGACTGTAAAGGCGGCAGCAGTCTAGGATTGTAAATCTGACTTTCTGACTAACGAAAATTGCCGAGAAGAACATGTTGCATTATTGTTGTATTTTTCTAGAAAACTGCAACACATCAGGAAATGTTAAAGTTCAGAAATGTAGAGGGCTTTGCTATCAACAGATGCATTGATATAGGCGATTTATTTTTCATCACTGCAGAGCAAAGGCTGCAAACTGGAGACGGCTAGTATTGCAATACACTTACCATGAAATCTTTTCAGATTTTAGACCAATGAAGAAAATCAAGTCTAGTGGCGATGTTAATTATGAATGTTCAAAGATTATTAGTTAGAGTAATAAGAAATATTTGGTAAGAGAACATAGCGAAGGGCACCATCTGTTTCTACATCTGGCATCATTGATTGTCTAAAGCAACAATTAAAGCTTTTTGGATTTGATAAACCTAATATGCATAATGTCTCAGACTTTTCCAAATGCATCGTTTCCATCTGAAAAGCTTCCAAAACAAGATGATGTACTTTCTGACGAGCTGAGTTGAGTTAGTTTTGGAAAGCAAAACAGCTAAATGAATTAAAATGGGGGTTAAAAAGTTGAGTTTCAAGGAGGGAAAAATTACTAAAAACACCTATATCTCTGATTCATCTATCCAAGAGAGAATAATTAAAAGCCCAGCCTGAAGATCTATTTCAAGGCAACAATAGAAGCCCATGAAAATCACTGTTTGCCTCTATTCCCCTGTGCCAAAAAGTTATAATATCAGCATTTAGTTAGAGATTTTATTATATGCACTGCATTGTTGTAAAATCATAGCTGAGAATAATTTGTGCAAGGTAAACATAATTTCTAACCTGAACTTTGGACCCTTATTGTAAAACCTTTTCTTTCTCAAGTGGTGACGCCTCCTGGGGTCAAAGACCCAAATTCTGTTGTTTCCACGCTTTTCAATCTCATTTCATTTCTTTACTCATGTCTGCCCCACTCAGGGAAAAACATAATAACCACCTCTCTTCCATATCTGCTGGTCTGGGAAACAGTGACTAGACCATGTTAACCTGGAGGGTAATTCTGTAAGGACAAGAAAGACCAAGTTCTTTCATAAGGGAGCATCAAGAGAACAGATTTTGCACAGCAGAGAAACACCCTTTAAATTATAGTAACAAAGAAAGTAATTGCATAACATTAGTATGTAAAAACAGCATGAGATTCAGCTTAAGCTAGTTATTTCATTTAATGCCATTAGTGGTGCTTAACACAGGGCTTTTCCTGCTAACTTACTCTCCATTGTTTGGCCTGACATCAGTCACCCAGATTAACCTTCTCTTTCTTAAGCACCAAGCCTCAACAGAGACTCTAATATCCCTCTCTTTAAAAGATTCATTGTCCTCTTTTCCACATATCCAACACCCACCACACATTCCCACATGCTAGGTCATCCACCATGTAAGCCATGCTGACATTTATGGTGCTTTCATAAGAATTAGTCCAGTACAGTTGGTTCAATTTGCAATCAAAGTTGCAACATTTGTTGCATTTTCAGCTGGTGCACTTCGCTTTCACACTGCACTGTGTCAAAGGAACCGAAACCCTCGCCTGTGATGGCGCTGGAACAAGAACCACTGTAGAAAACAACATGAAAACCTCTGAACAACATATGGGCGCAACTTGCTTTGTCATGGAATGTATAAAAACAGACCAGAGTATGCTTCTTTGGTCCAAATCAGAGTTTGACTGAGGATTCACACCTCCTCAAACGAACTAGACTTTGTAGACCTTTGTAGTGGAATAAAGTGGACCAAATGGGGTTGGTGTGAATGCACCCTTAAAATATCAAGCTAAGCGCATATAATAGGCATCTGTTAGGGAAATCTTTTCTCTAATATTATCTTTAAGGTGATTTCACACTTATCCAGACACACTATCACATACAAATGGATGTTGCACCTGAACACCATTTACCACTACTCCAAGTGGTAAATGGTAGTCCTTGGTGGTCATTAAGTTTAGCACTTTTTCCACATTATTTCTAACTTTAAATACAGTCTTTAAGTTGTCAATGTGAACTGAGAGCCTGAGATAAAATCATCCTCAAGCAACATTGCACAGATTTGCACATACAGGGCAACAAACATTTAAGTTAGAGAAATTATCTTTATTTAATCACAAACTGTCTTTAGACACCTATTATTTACCTATTTACTGATAACTACTTACTAAGTCCACAAAAGCATTAACAGATACAAAATATTTATATTATTTTCATAAACAGATTTTGCGTCTGTTTACCTTGTTAATTAAGAGGAGCTGCTGTTTACAAATCATGTCACATTAATATTACCCCCCACTAAAAATCCCCACAATTCATTAAGTTGAATTAACAGACTGTAAATAAAATGTGTTATGGCTGCACCCATAAATGAGATCTTAGCTTCTCCTCTGTGGGGGGAGATACGAGAACACTGTGGTATTTACATAGTTTTTACAGTCAATGGTTGAATTTAAAGCCTCTTTTATAAAGCAATGGTGAATGTGCCATTGTGTCTTCTGGGCATGATTTTTAATATATGGGATTTACTCAATTTTAAAATGAATAGAAATTATATGATCCAAATAAACAATAAACTAAGTTGCCTGTTCAAACAGGAGATCTTTCTGT